CCCCAGTCTTGTGCCGGGCGCTCTGCTTAGTAAACACCCAGACGTCCCCCGACCACCCAATTTATCATCACCGAAGTCCCACGGTGCAGGCCCTCTGGGAGGTCATTTTCACCACAATAAGTTCAGGTGTGGAAAAGAGGGTTTCGTCCTCGACAGACGTTGGGGAGTTTCAACCTTTATGAAGGTGGTCTCCACATTACCCCCCCCTTTTTCGAGGCTTCTTCTTGTTTACTAGGCAAAAGAAGTCTTCTTGGGGTAACCGGAACACGACCGGCTGGCGGCGAGTACAACCACCTTTTTTTCCAACAATCTTCTGTGCGGGTGTGCGGGTGCGCCACTTCCGCCACGCATTGCCAGAAGTTTCGAGTTCGATAGACAGTGCATCGTTTTCTTGGCCCACCCACCGTTTTTCTCTTTTCCGTACTCCGGAAGAAAATTAGGTGAGCAGCGGGTTTTGAACCCGTGTCTTTTTGCAACCAAAAGCAGGCACCTGACATCTCTTCGTCGACGCCATTGTGGAAAAGAGGATTTCGTCCTCGACAGACATTGGGGAGTTTCAACCTTTATGAAGGTGGTCTCCACACAGGGACGACTTGCATAGCCTAAGATCCTACTCACACGCCGGGATGGAGCGTACACCAACGTCCAGCTTCTCATGTACGCTCCACCATGGGTTGCTACCCCACTTACGCTCCCGAGTAGACCTATCTGCCGAAAGTTTGGCCAACAATTCCTTACTGCTTTGTACTCGCCTCTCTCCAATCGAAAACAATGCATTGCGCGTACCGCACATCTATCTCCGCAGTTTTTACGTGGTTGGTCTGGTCGTTCAGCTTGCTCGACGTGAGTAATAAGCTTTGCTTTGATGGCTCTATGTTTTATTGATCCACTTCAAGCAACGAACACCACCCCCCCTCCACCGTCCGATCCATTTTGGATCTCACGCCGGAGAGTTTTGGGGTGTCTTAGCTCTAAGTCCTCCACCGCCCAATGGGGGACTTAAGTATTTTTTTAATGCCGTACCAATAGGCATTAACCTTAGGTAAGCTTGTGCTTACTTTGGACTGTACCCTCCTCATCCTCTGGGGGAGGTAGAGGGGGGGGGGGCGCATGGCCTCTATTTTTCAGGGGGGGTTCGGGTACGGGTTGGGGGTCGGGTCTATGTGTACTGCATTATCGAGTTGTCCCCTCACTATAGCTACTGTGGATTTTCACTATACAGCTATCCTCACTCAACGCATCTATGTGTCTGGCAATCTCCAATACAAATCAACCTGTGAGGTTTCAGTATGCAGCTATCCTCACTCAACACGTCTATGTGTCCGGCAATCTCCAATACAAATCAACCTGTGAGGTTTCAGTATGCAGCTATCCTCACTCAACACGTCTATGTGTCCGGCAATCTCCAATACAAATCAACCTGTGAGGTTTCAGTATGCAGCTATCCTCACTCAACACGTCTATGTGTCCGGCAATCTCCAATACAAATCAACCTGTGAGGTTTCAGTATGCAGCTATCCTCACTCAACACGTCTATGTGTCCGGCAATCTCCAATACAAATCAACCTGTGAGGTTTCAGTATGCAGCTTTCTTCACTCAATGCGTCTATGTACCCGGCAGTCGCGAACGTCACTCAACCCGTGAGGTCTCAATATGCAGCTATCCTCACTCGAAGCGTCTATGTGTCTGGCACTATCCAACATCACTCAACTCGTGAGGTTTCAGTATGTAGCTGACCCCAATCAGCGCGTCGATGTGTCTGGCAAGCTCAAAAACCAATCCATCTGTGAGGTTTCAGTATGCAGCTTTCTTCACTCAATGCGTCTATGTACCCGGCAGTCGCGAACGTCACTCAACCCGTGAGGTCTCAATATGCAGCTATCCTCACTCGAAGCGTCTATGTGTCTGGCACTATCCAACATCACTCAACTCGTGAGGTTTCAGTATGTAGCTGACCCCAATCAGCGCGTCGATGTGTCTGGCAAGCTCAAAAACCAATCCATCTGTGAGGTTTCAGTATGCAGCTATCCTCACTCAACACGTCTATGTGTCCGGCAATCTCCAATACAAATCACCTGTGAGGTTCAGTATGTATCTTTCCTCACTCAGAGCGTCTACGTGTCTGGCACTATCCAACTCAACCGGTGGGGTTTCAGTATGCAGCTATCCCCACTCAACGCGTCTATGTGTCTGGCAAGCTCAAAAACCAATCCATCTGTGAGGCTCCAAGATGCAGCTATCCTCACTCAACACGTCTATGTGTCCGGCAATCTCCAATACAAATCACCTGTGAGGTTCAGTATGTATCTTTCCTCACTCAGAGCGTCTACGTGTCTGGCACTATCCAACTCAACCGGTGGGGTTTCAGTATGCAGCTATCCCCACTCAACGCGTCTATGTGTCTGGCAAGCTCAAAAACCAATCCATCTGTGAGGCTCCAAGATGCAGCTATCCTCACTCAACACGTCTATGTGTCCGGCAATCTCCATCACAAATCACCTGTGAGATTCAGTATGTGTCTATCCTCACTCAAAGCGTCTATGTGTCCGGCACTATCCAACATCACTCAACCCGTGGGGTTTCAGTATGCAGCTATCCCCACTCAACCTGTCCATGTGTCTGGCCTTCTCAAACCTCACTCAACCCTTGAGGTTTCAGTATACAGCTATTATCACTCAACACGTCCATGTGTCCGGCAATCTCATACATTATTCAACCTGTGAGGTTTTCGTAAATAGCCATCCTCACTCCACTCGTCCATGCGTCACGCGTCTTTGGTAGCGCATACTATGGGGGCTATATTTGGGGTGGCGTGTTTTACAGC